GTTAATGATTTAAAAATTGTTAAAGTTGAAATTTATAATAAAAACATAGTAAGTGGACTCAAACTTTTGAAAGCAACCGTATATCTTACTTGATTATTTATAATCTTTTTGAATTTTATGAGATTTGCAATTTTATTATAGACTTACAATTGAATTTGTATATATAAATCTATATTAATAAATAAATAAAAACTTAATAACAGGGCTTTATTAGCTTAAAAAAAAAATACTAATAATAATAAATTGTTAAATTAATCTATATATAAAAAGAAAAAATAAAAAATAAAATAATTTAATTTAAACTTTATATTTAAGTTAATAACTTTTTTTTTAAAAAAAGATTTGTCTAATTAAAATATTTCTCTTGTTTTGAATTTATTTGTAAAACTTATTTATATTTATATCAGCCTTTCAAAACCATTTGAAAAACTTATTTTTTTTATTAAAATATAGATTTACTTATTGTAACTTGTCTAATTAAAATTAAAGTAGAAAAATCTTGATTTTTTTTTCAAAAAGATTTTTACTATTTAAAAATTTGATAAAAAATAGAAATTTATTAATATAATAAATAAATACTATTAGTTTGATCTAACAAATTATTGCAAAAAAAAAAAAAAAAAAAAAAAATTGAATTAGTTATTAATAAAATAAATAAGCAAAAATATGACATTAAAAAAAAAAACTAACAATGCTGAATAGAATTGTTAAGTAGCAAAATTAAATTAATAAAAATTAATTCGAGCGTTACTAATATTTAGATTATAGTATGTTATTTATAATTTCTTTAAAAAAATACAACGATGGTTTAAAATAAATATGGTATTAATAATTCGAGATTTATTAGATGTTTTATTTGAAATAACTCGAGTTGTTTGTTTGATTTGGATCATGAATGAAAAGGTCAATCAAAAAACTTGACTTTATATATAATAAGTAAAGTTTTAACAAAGAATACAGTAATAACTTATATTTATTTAAATGGTCGCGTTTTGATGGTGATTGTTCATCGCGATAAATATTTTTATAAAAAATGATGACGCGTGATTTATTAATCATCATACAACTTCGTCTTAAAATATTAATGATGCGCGGTGATGCCCGCCTCTTTGTGTCAAAAAATGGAAGGGACCATTTCGTCGCAAGATTTTCGCGTAGCAAGGCGCACGAGCAACACCTCATCGGTGTATCGTCCTTCTTGCATACAGTATATTTATTACTTTAGATTATATAAATTAAAATAGTTGCGTAAATAAAAATAAAATAAAAAAAAAATTGGAGATTTAACTACATAGGTTTTATATATACAAAAAGTTGTAAATGTGTAAATGTTATATTACATCATGGAGTTTGTTAAAAATACGAGTTTTTTGTTAGACGACAACAGCCGATTGTTTTGAATCGCCCACAAGGTGGCTGGGTAAGGGGGTATTGTCGTGTTCTTTCTTTCCTCCGCACTTTTTACGTAAAACTCGCGAGCGACCGATCTCATTTTACGGTAGAGAAGACCGAGTTCGATGTTCCTCTGCTCAAAAATGTAGCTCAAGTTAACGGGATTACTGGTCATACGAAGCCGATTCAAGCTGGCATTATAGAAACATAATTAAACGCGTTTTTAGTAAAGTATACATTGTAATAACGAAGGTCCAATTACTGTAATTCTCATCCCAGAGAAGATCAACTGATGCATCAAGGAAAAGATCTTTAGCGTTCCATTACCATACGATTACTTGGGCGGTGATTATTTACAATATTCCGTGACCAAGGCGCCATTAGGAAGCCCAACCAAATTCTCATTAATACCAATCACGGTTTAACCGGAGTCTGGACATTGATTTCATGCACAAGGTCAGAACTCTATTATCTAACAATTTCTATAATCGATATTGTATAACTGTTTGAGTAGAATCAACTGAAGTAATGTACTATGTGATTCGAATAATGTTAAGAGAAGCTAATAAATATGAGAATCTATGGGCGAAAGAAAAAAAAAACGAGAAAAGAAGAATTTCGCTTCTACAGTATATAAGGAGATCCCACACTCTAAATAGTTGAAACCGGCAAACTCGCGTATCTAGTAATTATTGCCTTCGCAGGTCGAGATCAATTGTCAAATTGTTAATAATTCGGTTTTTTGACTATCCTAAAAACCTCCATCTCCGAAATTTCAATGTCCTTCCCACGTTCACAACACAATTTTCCCAATGATAGTTTTTCGTAGGTTTTCTGTTGCATTGTGATATTCAGCCTGTCAGGGTCCTTTGGTCTACCGTACCATTTACCATCCGAACCAATTGTACCAGCATGCCTTCTACCTAATCTATGATATATGTGCAGGTCTGATTGACCGAACCATATTTCTCGATTGCTAAATCCGACGGCAAATTTTGAACACTCTTTCTTCACCCGACTCAAAGTAGCACTATACTGGGCATTATTATCATACGAGCTGTTGGTATGTCGAGCGGGAATGTTACTCTGTGCGGGAGGTGAATTGATTTCTGGAACGAGCGAACCATCTTCTGTATAGTATCGAATTGTGGCGCGAATTGGTGAAAGCGTTGGACCTTGATCAGCCAAGTTGTTCTTCACGGGTGCTTTGGTCTCACCTTTATCACTGCGGATAAATGAGAATATAAAGCTATCTTCAGTGTCCGAGTATTCAACCTCAACATCTCTTCCAGACGAATTCTGGCGCGAAGAAAAATCGATTGGATTGTATCCTCCGATTAAGTCCCCGGTGTGTTTCATTTTCATTATTATGACGATTGCACCATCGTGACGGGCTATGTTTGGTGGTGGACCGTGAGATCTATATCGATAAAGTAATTTAAAATTGTACGGCATATTTATTCCATTATAGGACTTCCTGCCCTTGTCACCACCCGGCAACAAATCTTTCTTATCTATCCATGTTGCAATCAATCCGGCCATATTACGGTTGATCAATATTGAGTCGAACGACGGGCTATGTGGTGGTAAGATAACGCATGGAGGTGGAAAATTGGTGATGCCAAGGTAAAAGTGAACCTGCTCCGAAAGATCCTCACAGGATAAGATTTTTCGAAATGGGGCAACTCTTTTGTCCCAGTCCGCATGAGAAATGCTAAAAAATCTGACCAATGGTAAAACATTTTTCAGAGTTGACCGTAGAGATTCAAACTGCTCCTCCGAAAAATCTGGTATCAGTGTTCGTCCGAGAGGTGGAGTATTCTTAATGCCCCAATCAATGACACGTTCCCAAATCTTAATCTCCTCCATCCCGAGCGCTTCGGACTCTAGTACGTGCACAAGCAAGCTTTCCTCAACCCGGAGAAATTCCGGAGATTCAAAAAATGCATAAGGATGATCCGCGATAATTTCTTGGCAACATAAATTTAATTTTGACGCTGCCGGAGCCTGAAGCGCTACTCGTAGGATTGAAATGAAATCACTTTCCATCCACATTGATTTAGAACGAACTATTTGTTCCTCGGCGAAATCAAATAACTCGTTGAGGAGTAGTATGTCAGTTGCTATTAAAAGTTGTAATAATAGGCTCAAATCATGCTGATCCGGGAAAATTTTTCCGCTGTATATGAATCTTTATAGGACGAGGATTGACAAGGAGATTTGTGTCAGAAAGAAGTTTTTTGAAAAAAAAAAAAAACAAAACAAAACAAAAACAAAATAAAACAAGAACGATCATTCGATCGATGTTAATTAAACGCGACCACCTTTTCCGTCGCCTTCTATTCGTTACTTACTTGAGTATAGCGACAAATGCGCCAGGAGTAATATTTAAATCCACCAGGTTAAAGTGAAATTTACCATCGATCTTCTTTACCCAACCATGTGATAGTGCTGCCCTAAAGTAATTACACCTTCCATATAATATTATCGAATGGGCTTCAAAAGACCTGATATCTTCGCGATTTCCAACTCTTATAACGGAATCATGAAAGTTCGTCGCATCAAGCAGTTTTGAGAAATCGTTTGATAATGTCGTCAAAAAGTTCGTCATCGGTTTACTCCTTTTTGCTCTGTGGATAACTGTACAAACATGTAACAACTTTTTCTATTCAGTTAATCAGATAAGAAAACAAAGTGGCGTAACTTATATACAGAATTCAGAAATCTCCATGTCACACAAGAGCATGAAAAATTCCTAAAAGTAGAAATGTGATTCACATGACTTCCATATTGGAATTCCCGGTGAGAAAAAAAAACTCGTTCCTACCGTGCTTCCAGAATCTTCCGTCAAGATGATCGCAATGAGGCTTTGCATATTATCTTGGGAATTATTATGATGTTGACTCTGAACCCTCTGAACCTTGCTGAACACGCGAAAAAACCACATGATAACACCCCTGCTCACCCCTTCTCACCTGACATTTACTTATTGACGATATGGTGAATACCCCAAACCACCCCGAGTTCCATCATATCTTTCATTTTGAGCAAACTTCTCCGAACACGTAATTCCTGACGAATCCTTTCCGAATCATATGGTTTCAAATTAGTTGCTAAAAGGGTATCTTCGCAGCAATATGTGATATTGACACGTAGCCCTCTACGCAGCCCCAAATAACTTACCCGCAAAGGTAAAAAGGCCTCATTGAATTACGTATGTATGTGGAAATGGGGTGACGTAAAAATTCCGGTTACAGCAAGATTCATACCTGGTGAACGACACAAAATGAATGGAGTCAATGCGTAAGCATGAATAATATTTGCTGCTGGTTTGTGGCATAACTCGTGACAAACGCCTTGATTTAGTTCATACGGAAATATTCGATAAAACTTGGTTTTTTTTAGTTAAAATTAATTAAAATCATTACTGCATTGAACTTGTTGCATTTAAGTTATAATCAGAATTTAAATATTTATCATGATCTTGGCTGTGACCACAAGTGCAAACAATACTTGGCGCCTGCTTAAAATTGGGTTGATATAAATAATCATAACGTAGTCATCTACTGTATGTTTACCAATGCTAATATGTAATTATGTAATGTAATCAAGGTTGAATTTGTGAGAGAAGAAACGCAAGCTCAAATGCCAGGTCCTTGATTTTATCTAGGTAGTTTCTTCCTGCACCAAAATGCCCTTTCTCCAGGTCAGTTTTCAAGATCAACAGATCACCTTGGCATATGTCCGAAGGAAAATTAAATCTTGGTTGTCTGGCTCTCATCCGGGCCACCCATTTCAAAGGATGCCAATAATGCACTCTTTGGTCCTGGATTGCAGCTGTGACCAATATCGATGACTTGTGAGAGTTACTGCGTGCCTCGGGATTTTCAGAAACCAGTACTCCGGT